CAGTACTTAGAACAGTGACAGGAATAAAGAATTCACTCAAGAAATGTTTGTTGAATAAATAATTGAGTGACTGATTAAAATGTAAATAACTTCTTAGTTTGTGAAAAGAGAAATCTGCCTTATTGGGTTAGAATGGCTAAGGTAAACAATGAGTCAAATAGATGGGACTGGATTCAATGATTTATTCCACTGTGTTTTTTCATGTGATTTGGGACCATGTCTGTGTCTTTATCTGAAAGGCAGGTATGCAAAGCTTATGGAGGAGGATAGGTGAATGATTCCGTGAAGGGACTGAGAGTCATTTTTACCAGAGTGTCTCAGACATTGCTCTCTTTGAATAACCAACTTATAATGGGTTTGCAATTTTGTGGGAACATTTTAAGACATGTTAACGATGTAATGTCTTTGTAAACTTTGAAGTTATGTTTTGCTCAAAAAGAGGGTTTGTATCAGAAAAAACAAAAGTATTTCTTCACAGTTTTGACATCCATTTTGCAGATATCTTTCAGTTTTGCTCAGTTGATTTTTAATTAGAAATGAGAAAAGATAGAAAAAGTAAGAAAAAAGATAGCAATAACATTTTTTAAAAGATAGAAAATAGATGTTTGTAAAGCAAATTGTGATCTTTTTCCGAGAAAGGTGAAATTGTGCTTGACTTCAGATAACACTTTTTAACAATTATTTTGTCTATGTACAGTATTCAATAAGCTGAACTAAGTGTATAATTACAGAGGTAATTAACATAAAAGTTTAAATATTTTCCTTATGAATAGGCAGATAATTGGGCTTGCCAAAATCATAATTAATGTATTTAGTTATTTAACGTATTTGTCAAATATCTTCTATGTGTCGGGCACTGTTGTAGATATATTGGGTATATGAGTGAATTAAATACAGATTCCTTTTTTGTGCTTAGATTCTAGTTGTAGTGTTATGTTTTTATCATACATTTTGCTTCTATCATGCTCCAAAGCTTTATACCTATCTCCATTTGTAAAGTGTGATTTAATGAATTGATAGCTAATTTTTTGTGACTTTCAAAATAATCTAATTATTAGTGCTTACATTTAGCTATATAGTGTTCTTTTAGAATCAGATAATAAATACCAATATATTAATGTTTTGACAACCATCTGGTTCTTTAGACTCATCTGCTCTGCAAATCTGGACAAGTCATTTAGTTTAATGAGACTGAAATCAGAACTGTAACAATTGATCTATTTCAAGTGAGAAGAAAAACTGTGAATTTGTTGAGACAATGGACTGTAGGCTCTGTTGCATCATCCACTTTGACTATATTTATTGCATTCAAATTCCAGCATATATTTAATTCCACTAAATGTAAATCTACTTTCTACTTATGTGTATTAATATTTGGGGTGATGTGATTTCTATACTTAATATTTTTGTTTCTTATGAGTTTAATAATTATAAAATTTACATAGTCCTTCACACTGTTTTATTTACTCATAATTGAACCTGTGGAGTAAAAAAGAATGGATATTTCTTCTTTTTTTGAGTCAGTGTTCTCACTCTGCCGCCCATGCTGGAGTGTAGTGGGATGCTCATGGCTACTGCGGCTTCAACCTGCTGGGTTCAGGAGATCCTTCCACCTCAGCCTCCCGAATAGTTGGAACAACAGGCATGTATCACCATACCTGGCTAATTTTTTGATTTATTTTAGAGACAGGATCTCACCATGTTGCCCAGGCTGTTCTCTGAACTCCTGGGCTCAGGCAGTTCTCTTGCCTCTGCCTCTCAAAGTGCTGGAATTATAGGCATGAGCCACCATGCCCAGCAAGAATGAATATATTTTGTCTAAAATAATAGCTTAAAAATTGTGATCTGTAGTAGGGATTAAGTGTACAGTGTACTTAGTAACACTTTTGGTAATTGGACTTGGTAGTTGTAATTTGAAGCTTAGTTAACTTTTCAGCAATATTGATACTGTTGATAATTTTTTTTTTTTTTTTTTTAAGAATGAGAGACATGGACAGTTGGCAAGTGAGAAAGCAGGATTTATTGAGAGGACAGAGTAGCTCCCACAGTGGGAGGGGACCCGAAAGGGTTGCCCCAGTAATATTTTTTTATATCAATTTTTATACAAGGATCATCACCAAATGACTGTTATATGGGCTGACTATGTACAAGAGACTATATGAAGCTGTACATGATGTATAAATGAGTTACATATAGTTCTGGTACTAAAGGGACGTACATTTTTTGTTCATACCTTTAAAATAAATCTTAATGTGTGATAAATAGTTTTTTTCACGTTTGGCGAGTTAAATCCCCTGGGATAATATTGCAAATCTCTGATGAAACTGTGGCTAAGACCTAAATATGTTGAAATCGAAACATTCCCTGCCCTTGATAGCATTAATTTTTATGTGGAATATGTTTATATACATCTGAATTTTTCTGCCTACATATACCACGAGAGTCTTAATGTGTGTTGAGAATAGTTTAAAATAGATTAAAAATGAAATTATTATTTCATTTATCTTTTTATAGTTTGTGTATAAGCCTAAGGAAGCCTTTCTTGTCTTTAGTGTCTGTAGGGACAATTACAAAGGAGAACAACAAATCAGGAAATGTCAAAACTAATGTTCATTTTTATACTTAAAATTTGAGAGAAGTGTAAAAGCAATAATCATGGTATATCACATTGGTATATAAATATTCATTATCTAACAATAGAGTGAGCCATAAAAGTAAGTGGCTAGTACCAATATATTTTTGTAAGTATGTCCATTATGGTTAATCTGGTGGTAGGGACAGTTTTCGAAAATTACCTCATTTGCTTGGACTGTGGCACCAACATTCTTACTGTTGAGTAGTATTGGCCAAATTTTTAAACTCCTTGTTGGCCTACAGGGTCTTTCAACATTTGACACCTGCCTAATTTTCCACATTCCAGCCTTTGTCATTTACTTCCATTCTTAACTCTAACTTTTATGCTCTGGCTATTTTGATCTGTTTAATCTTCTCTGTGTATAGTGTTGAGCCTTATAGGGAGGCTTGGGACATCTTTCTCTGATGTGCACCCTGTGGTGTGTGATTATCAAGAGAATGTTTGCCTTCAAATTTAGACTGTGCTTAATGAAGAAAGACTTTTTAAAAATCTTTCTCTTTCTTTTTTCTGTTTTTTTTCCCCCTATTTTTTTGGATAACAGAATTTTGCTCTGTCACCCAGGCTAGAGTGTGGTGTTGTGATCATAGCTCACGGCTGCCTCAAACTCCTGGCCTTTTGTGATTCTCCTGCCTCTGCCTCCCTTAGAGGTAGGATTACAGGCATGAACTTTGAGAGATTGAGAGACTGAGAGATAGATAGATAGATAGATGGATAGAGAGAGAGAGAGAGAGAGAGAGAGAGAGAATGAGGAATGAGAATGAGGTACCTGTCTTTGTGTCCTTTTTTTGATGTGTGGATTTAAATGACTGAATGGGACTAAAATGAGACATCAGTTACTCTATTTTCATAGTTTTTCCTTATTCCTAGGGAATTGTCTATATCTATATTTATATCTATATCATTCTTTAAATTTTCTGAAGTCTGACCAATAGTATATTATATTTTGCCAAAGGTAAATTGGCTGTATATTATTTAGTAACAGGTTAAAATAATTAAGTTGCAGTGCCTTATATAGATGAATTATTGTGGAATCTTTAGAAGATACTGTGTAAATCAAGGGCTAAAGCAGTTCTAGTAAGCATTTCTTTATATTTTGATTATACCTCAGTCAGAGTGTTATTTTTCTTTAATAATTTACTATTAATTCTGCAGCTTCATAGTGAAAACTACTGAATTGTAGTAGTAGTGTCATCAGTCTAGTATTTGCAAGGAAAGTTAATTATCAAAATTTTGAGACTTGTTTAGAGGTTTAAAAAATATGCTTGTCTCAGTTTTTTAAAAAATACATATTTATTTAGCACCTAATGCATGTTGTTTTCAACCAAGTAAATCTGTTTTCAAAACAGAGATTAAGAGATTTAGCCAATTTTTCTTTTCTTGATAAATGTGCCAACGGTCTGTTTTCTATGAGACTTGTGTCTCTTCAACTTACTATTTTGATTATGAGTAGTTTATTATCCAGATAGACTTTTAAAAATAGAATATTTGCTAGAGTTTTTATAGAATGATTTAGGATTTATAAATAGCATACAAGATATTATTGGGAACACGTTGATTATAACATATAAAGCTAAAAAAGTGGGCGAGAAAAAGATGATAGTATTTTCAGCATCTCCAATAAGGAAGTGAGTGGGTAGAACATCTTCAAATGCTAATTTGGCTTTCCTTGGAACAGTGGTGATGGCTTTATATTTAACTGACTTAAGTTCCAGCATTTATGCTATCCAGTTAATATGTCCAGTCTCCAAGTTTTATTACTTTTTTATGAATACTGCCTTGAGGTTTTGACTTATGCACTTCAACTTATACCTTTTCACATTAGGGGTGTGAACTTCCTGGGGGGCAGTTCTTTTATGTTTGAAGTTGCTCAGAGTTTCCATCTGCTTTTACTTGACTTGTGGTCTTGAAGATCATGCTTGGCCCATGGGATATTACAGTGTGCCGAGAGGATGTGGAGTTTTGTCAGCCAGTGAAATATGTCTGGCTTTTTTTCTTTTTCTTTTTTATTTTTTTTCAGCAACTTTCATATACTCCTCATCCTGTGTGGTCTTCACTGAACTTAATTTATATTTACCAGAACCATTCACCCTCTTTATCATTTTCTATGACTTGGCCTTTTTTTAAAGAGAAGGTGTGTGGAAGGAACATCTGAGCCAAAAAACTGTTATCTTGGCGATAGGAAAACCTAAAACTGAAAGCTTAAATTAGTGTTATATATAAATGTGTTTCAGTATTCACAAATATATATTTTGTAATTCAAGAGAGTGTCTTATTTCAGTATGTACAACTGTCAAGAAGGTTCTCACGCCAACAGTAGATTCCAAGTTTTGCCTATGATCCAAATGACTTTTTTGCTTGTTTTTAGGCACTACTGCAGTCCTCAGTTAAGCAACAAGTAGAAGCTATTGAAAAACAGTACATTTCTGCAATTGAGAAACAAGCACACAAGTGTGAGGAACTGCTAAATGCTCAGGTAATAAAAGTGCATATCCATTATATATTTATACTTTTCTTCTGACTTCCCTCCCTTGAGAGCTCCATAACTGTTTATTCAGTTTCATTCCATTTACTTTTTCTTGGTGTATTTTGGAGAAAAAAATATGCTTATGTAAACTCAAAGTTTGAGAATTTTAGTATAGACTCAAAATAGGACTAAAGGTCTAAGATATGTGGGTCTCCCCTGCATTAATGATTATTGTTATGTTACTTTCTGGGTAATAATAGTATTCACTAAATAGTAAGCAAAAGATATGGACGAATGAATTATTACTTGTAATGATTTTTAGTGAGGCAGCATTTGTAAATTACATTTGAATTTTTAAAGCACTTATATGTGTTAGAGATACCTTTCATTTCATGTAGGCATTAGTTTCTATTTGATTTTTTCTGTTGAATTTTAAAAATTTTCTTCATTTAATGTGTTAGAAGACTTAAATTATTAGCTACTATGCATTAAACAATCAGTTGAAGAGAATTTATAGATGTGTCATAAGATGTGTATATAAGAGGTCTGAAGCAACACTTTTTAATAATATAGACTTAGTAGATGAAAATTAAATCAACTTTATTTAAAAGACCTGTTTTATTCATGGGCAGAAAATGTATTAAGGATCAAGAAACAAAATTAGGCATAGACTTTAAATGGAGATTTATAAATATGCCACCCTGTTCTCAAGATTGGGTCAGTTCTAGTAAGTATTTTAAATGTCATTTCAATAAATGGCTTGGAAGAAGAAATACATGGGGAATTGATATAACAATTACACTGTTTTTGGTGGTGAAATACCAGGGTTTCAGAAGCATGAAGTATATAACTTTTTGAATAGATAGAAAAATAAAAGAGAAGTAAGTTAGTTCATGGAACTGTAAAACGGCAGAAGGCACATATTAGTCAGGATAGTCTTGGTTATGACCTAAACTCTCTGACTTCAGACAGCAAAAGTATATATTTTACTCACACTATCTATATACATTGAGGATTGTCTTGGGGCTCTTTCTTGCATTGTCCTCACTCACTCTGGGAACTATACTGATAGTGTAATTCTAATGTGTAATATAACCAGATATCATTGCAGAGTGAAAGAGGGCCCTGGGAGATTTTATATCAATATTAAATACTCTACCCTGGAAATCACACACCCATTCCCAATTTTAATCCACATGAGTCCACTCAATTATAATGGGTTCATGAAGTAAGATCCTGCTATGAACCCGGAAGGGAGGGAGCAGGAAATATTTGGTGAATAGCACTAACATACCACATTTCGCTCTTTTAGTCACCAAATATTAAAAGTTTCCATCTCATAGACAGGTTTACATATCTTTTCCTCATGGAAGAAAATCTGAACAATCCATCCAGCTATAGCCTCAAACTCAAAATTCTAGGATCCTTAGGTGATAAGAGTGGAATAATGTGCTACAGTACCTTTGACCTTAGGAAGTAGGACTAAAACCTACATTGTTTCTACCTAGCATGTCTAGTATACAATGGTGAGAAGAGGTAGAGTATTTACTCTAAGCATTCTAAATAAAAAAGATGAAGAATCAAGGACACATAGCTATCATTAATATGTAGCAATTTTAAAATCTCACTGGACAGATTAAATAAGAATCTCTTCCTGGGGAGTAGAGCAGATTTACTATGACTTTCCTTGGGGAGTTTGGCACAGGGTCCTTGTGGTCTTATAGGCTTTTTATTTTTCAGTATCTTTGTTGGTTGGCTATTTTTAATAAGTATATTAGAGATTATATCATTTCTGAGCCCACTTCCTGTCTATAGAAAATTGGAAGCCAAAGGGTCATTTTATGTAGCAAATAGTTACAGTTTAGGGTAATGATCCTTTGGCATCTTATCTATTTTATAATAGTCAGCTCTGTTTGTTAAAGACGTACCCTCAGTTGTTTTAGAGAACTATTTCCTTGGCTTAATATATTTACATGCTTTGCTCCTTTTATCTGTCTGTGTCTTCATTTGATTGCAGACATTTGCATTTTATCAAATCATTGTTGAAATAAGTTAAAAAGGATCTAAAGAAACTTAAAACCTTGTAATGAAAACAATCTAAGTAAATTTAAATGCTTGTTCATTGATTGGAAATACTTGATAAAGAGCATTCAAGATTACTGTATAGCATTATCATAAACAGGTCAGTATGATGACATGCTATTTAAAAAGTAGAGGCTAAAAGGAGATATTAGTAGGCAAAATCATGTAAAATAATAGAAATAATGATCCTATATTTGTTTTTCAAATCATATTTCTTGAGTTGCCATTTGAAACTTGAAATCAATTTAACAACAACAAAAGAGAAATACTTTTGAAAAAGTGAAAATGTAATAGTTGGATGGTTCCTTAGAAATCATCTAGTTCAACTTTCTTTCTTTTTTTTTTCTAAATTAATAATTTAGCTCTAGAGTAATTGTAAGCATGCACTCTGGAGTCAGACTATGAATTGATCCCTAGCTTTGTTATTTAACCATGTTAATTGGGGCAAGTCTCTTTAATCTCTCTGTGCTTCATTTTTCTCATCTATAAAATATATAACACAAGTAATTCCTACCTGATAGTATTGTTATAAGTATTATGTGGCATTAGACTTGCATAATGTTTAAGACAGGGCTTGGCACATTCTAGGTGTTTAGTGATATTGGCTGCATTGTCATCATATTTGTTATTCTTAGTCTAGATCATTTGTGTAGCTAGTTTCAGAGCCAGGGTTAGGATTCAAGTTTTTAAATTTCTAGTCTATAGAAAAGGGTTCTTTATTGGTAGCTCATATTTTATTTTGTGGTTGATATCACAGAACCTTTACATTTTAAAAAATTTGCTTTGGAACTACTGTTATATACGAATACTAGACCTATCATTTGTTCATCTGTACTGTTTTAACTTATAACACTTCTAACACCAAACCTTGGGAGTTTTCTATATCAACAACCAGTTCTCCAACTGTCTGGATACCAGCTGGTATCTTACAATTCAATTCATTTCTGATACTCACTTATTAGAGTTGGCATCTGACTCCACAGGCTTAAGATCGATCTCAAAAGACTGTCCTCACTTCAGATGCTAGTTGCACGTGTTGGATCAACAGGGTACCCAGCACTTCTCTCTGGCTTTACTACAAAGTTTGAAATTTTCACAGCTGCCCTCCCCTTTAGGCTTGATAATTTGCTAGAATAGCTCACACAGCTTGAGGAAACACTTTACTTATTTTTTACTGGTTTTTAAAAAATTTTTATTGATTTTTATTTTTTATTTTTTTGAGTCTCACTCTGTCGCCCAGACTGGAGTGCAGTGGCCGCTCCCAGTCACCGCAGCCTCTACCTGCTGGGCTCCGGTAATCCTTCAGCCTCAGCCTTCCGAGTGTTTTTTTTTTTAATAAAGGATATAACTCAGGAAAAAGTAGATGAAAGAAATACATAGGATGAGTTAGGGGAAGAAAGGGGTGTGCAGAACTTAAAAGCTCTTTCCAGGCCCAACACCTGCCACCCTCCCAGCACTTCCATGTGATCAACAACCTGGAAGCTTTACAAACCCCTTGATTTAGGAGTTTCATAGTCGTAGGCATAATTTATTAAATCACTGGAAGTTAGAGGGAGGGCTGAAAGGTCCCACTCTCTATTCATGCCTTTGTCTTTCTGATGACCGGCCTCCATTCTGATCTTGAAGCTACTAAGAGCCCTAGTCATCAGTTATCTAATTAACATACTTAAAATACTTTTATCACCCTGGAACTTCCAAGGATTTTGGGATCATGGTGCCAGGAACAAGTAACAAGAACTAAATATGTACTTGTTATTGTATCACAGTTCCTCTCTCCTCCTCATGTAATGAAGGACTTTTATATGACAAGCACTCACTCTGCTTGATTATAGGAATATAACAGTGAGTGAGAGCAAGGTTATCCTTCTAGTAAGCAGTAGAGCAGAAAATATAATTGCAAAATAGTGCAATAAGTTTGGTGGAATAAATAGTAACGTGAGAGAACATTTAAGGATATATAACTCTTTTGTATTAGGTGAGAGAAAGCTTGTTGGACTAATGGTGAGTTCTCTCAAAGTTTGTGGGTATAAGTGACATCAGAACTGAGAGTTTATCATGAAAGAGAGAGAGAATAGCATATTTAAAATCCTTCAGTTGAGAGGATATAAATGTTAGGGGCGAGGCTATTTGATAATGCCAAATGAAAAATCATTATATGCCATAGAAAGGATTATAAAAGATCTTGCCTGCTACCTTGTCTGAAAGGAAATTGGGTGCTACTTAAAGGCATTTACTAGAGTAATGAAATTTGTTCAGCTTTATATTTTAGAAATATTACTTTAGTGACAGTATAAAAATTGAATTGATGGGACAGACTGTCAGAAGCATATAAATCACTTAAACAGCTATTTTGTTTTCCAAGTGAGAATGTTGATGGCCAAAACTAAAGTGTGCGGGTAGGAATAGAGAGATTTTTATGGTTTTAAGTGATATTTAACAGAAACTAGAGACTTTGTGGGAATACAAGAGAGGCAATAGAGTTGATTGATAAAGGAGATTTTTTGTATGTTTATATGCACATATATATTTGTGCATACATATATTTTATATACATAAATATGCTTTTATATACTAGAATATATTTTTCTGGATGGTGCCCAAATTTTTGGTTTTGTCAATTTTCTAAAATTGAGAATTTAAGACATGGAGCATACTTAGGCTTGAAATTTTAAGTTTTGGACCTGTTGAGTTTGTAGTACCTGTGGAATATCAGAATCTTTTGAATATGGGGTATGGAGCTTATGAGAAAGCTGGTTATAGATGAATCAGGAAGTCATAATTATATAGATGGTCATTAAAAGTATGGCTATGGATGAGATCAGAGAATGTATAGAATGAGGAATAATTCAGCCTGGAGCTGTGAAGAAACTTAACATATAAGGATTAGGTTAAGAAAGCTCTTGAAGGAAACAGTGAAGTGGAAATAG